AATTACAAAACACCTGGCCAATAGTTAGAAAAGCACTAGATGAAGCTAGGCAGGTATACAAAGCACAAGCCGATAAAAAAAGGGTTGAGCCTATACCATTCATTATAGGAAAAATGGTGTACTTATCTACCAAATTCCCTAAAGGCCCTACAACCCTGTAAAAAACTTGGACCGAAATATATAGGGCCTTTTCCAATTAAAAGAATCATAAACCCAGTAACAGTAGAATTAGAATTACCCCAAAATCTCAGGCAAATACACACAATTTTTCATTGCAGCTTGCTGAAAAGAGCATCAAACACCGTTACGGCCAAAAATTCCCCCCCACACAAACCTCCAATCATGGTGGAGGGCGAACAACACTTCGAAATAAAGGAAATCCTTGACTCTAGGAAATATCATGGAGCGACTTAGTACCTAGTTGCCTGGAAACACCTCCCTGCCTCACAAAACGAGTGGGTCCATAAATGTCATGTCAGAGCCCCGAAGCTATTAAAGAAGTTCCACACAGAGTATCCTAACAAGCCTGACTAACCTTTATACCTGTGTTGTTTTCTTTCAGGTGGATCTGTCTTATTTTTAAGGGGGCAGGATGTCAGAATCCAATTATATTTCATCTCTAGTTATCAACTATAGAAAATACCATTTCTGCCTTCTCTGGATTCTGTCATATGATGAAGGGAAGGGGTGAGCAAAGGGGCTTTATGGCCCTCACTTCCTTCAGTACATTTCAAAGGGACTGGATGTGGATATCACCAAAAGGACTAACCATAACAATGGGGCTATTACCTTTCATGTACTCCTCTCTGAAGTCTCCCTCCAGCCGGCAGTAAGGAAAAGGGAGTGGGAATGTAATGCCTGAGACTGTCGCTGGAAGAAGGGGGTGATTGGGTGGGGCTACTGGGGAACCCCTTAAAACCTTGAATGGGAGAGCTTGGACCCCAAGTCCTGTCTAGAACGCCTGAAACCATTTTCTCTTAATAAAGGATGCCTGTTGGAAGAACTATTCCAAGAGTTCTGTCTTCTTAAGATGCAAAGTGGGGTGGGTCCTTACATTATCTTTTGTTTTGGTGTCGTTTATGTGCTGATTGATGTAAGCTACCCAATCAAGCAAATAAATAAAATGTTGCAAGAGTTCTTCCACACAATTTTGCAATTGCAGTCTGTTTTCCACTGAAAAGGCAGTCCTTAAAGATTGCAGCACTTTGTATTATATTAGATCATTAGAATATTACGCAAATTAAACTGACTACTTATTTTTGCAGAAATTAGACTTTTGCTTTATTTTACTTCTTCATGAAATGCCAGGTGCTATCATGACACAGAAAATCATTCTGGCATTGTGGTTCCCAATCCTTTTCTTAGGAGCTGGTAAGTTGAGTTTCTATTTCTAGCTTTAGATGCAGTTTCAAACCAGGGCTGAAATTTGGGACTCAAAACATGGTTTGTTTCCTTGAGTCCAGGCAGGATCTTTACAGGAATAGATATAAAAGTTTGGAGGAACTTTCTTTTCACCTGAAAGAACTGAGTTGGAGGAGAACTTGAAGAAAAAGGCAGATAAGATTGAAATTACAAAGTCTAGCAGAAGAAGTAAATGACATTTTCCCAATTTTTATTTAGAAAATATAAGAAACCTAAAGACAATACCATTATGCATGATACAGGTGGATTTGATCTGTTGCTCAATAGCACAGTCTAAATTAATTTTTTTTTGCAATGAAAAGATACTTGTTTCACTATTTTTTTAAGAAAAACCCTATTGATTTGTAAGGATAGGCCATGCATCTTTTAATAATTATACAAGTACATAAATCTTGCTTAAACCTTTCTGTTTCAAAATCATAATTTGGAAAATACATAAACACTGTTATAATACCCAAGACAGATATAATAACTGAAACATCCATAGCCAGTATTTTAATCTTCAAATAAATTTAGACAGAGAAATATTATCTGTAGCATTATCCTTATTATGGTCACTGGTGAACACATAATACAATTTTGTAAACATTTTCTAGAAGAGCGGCAGAAGTAAATACTATGGTTTAGATTTCTAAGTACTATAAAGTGAAATAGTAAAAAAATAAAAATAACTATTAAAATATCTCCATACCTAAAAGAAATTGACTAAATTACTGAACAGTGTGCTGTATTTATGCTATAAACCAGTGTTTCTCAACCTTGACAATTTTAAGGCATGTGGACTTCAACTCCCAGAATTCCACAGCCAGCATTGCTGGCTGTGGAATTCTGGGAGTTGAAGTCCACATGCCTTAAAATTGTCAAGGTTGAGAAACACTGCTATAAACAGTGCTGTGAATAAAACTCTGAACCAAACATAGAGACTTACTAAAGCACTGTGTCAAAATCAGAGCTTTTCTGTGGTGGGGCCTTTTGGGTGTCCAGTTTCTGAAGAGACACACTTTCTGGATGGAGCCCGGTGTCATCCATTACACTCAGGTTAGTTAGTAAAGAAAGACTCCCAGGCCAGGGATGTGACCAAGATTATTCTTTACTGTAGCAAAAGTGATGACAGAATAGCCAGGTGAAGTCTGTTGCTTTGGCACAAAAAAGATGTAGCTAACTTTCCCTTTTTCCCAAGCCTCCCCCTTGTTATCAGCCATTGTCCAGTTAGAAGTATTGCCATTATTTGGGTAATGGACCCTCAATTTGTGCCTTATCCATCTCTACATTCCTTTGGGTGACCTTGGGCTAGATGGGAGCATCTCATTGCCAGCGCGGTACTGCTTGGCTTCCAGCCCTCCCTTCCCCCCCCATTCCAAACCTCTTCCCTCCCCCCATTCCAGAAATGTCAGGCTGACAGGATAGGAAGCGATGCTAGCAGAACGGCAGCCATGACATCCAGAATTTCTCACCTGCCACTCCTTCCTTTTTAACCACATTTCCTGGGTAGAATTTGGGGATTTTTAAAAAAAAAAATGCAGATCTGAATATTAAATTGCAGACATATTAATCTAAGAGATTAAACATGTTCTCATCAAGCCAAGCCTTGCTCACTTTTGCCCCCCCCCCAATTTCACCGTTTTCCTCCCTGTTCCACCCTGCCCATCATCTTTCATGCTTGGACTTTGGCACAGCTGAGGACCTGCATTTCTACGATGGGTTAGAAGTGGACCTCAAGCCGTGTCCTGCACCCTCTTCTCCTCTGGAAAAGGGCCCATTGGGGGTCCAGCCCAGCTCTCTCCAGGCTTCCCACTCCATGGGGCACAGGCTGCGCTGGGCCAGGCCAAAAAGGGGGTTCCCAGATGGGGTGTCAGGAAAAGAGATGAAGGTGGGCTTTGAGCTGGAATCTCCATAGAGGCAGTTCAGGATCCTCTCTGTGGGTCTGGTGGGACTGGCTGGACCCACAAACTCTTTGGGGAAGAGTCAGGGGGTCCTTGAGGGGCTGAGCCTCGAGCCCCATCATCCATGGTTTGATATAAAGAGGTCTTGCTGGAAGGCAGGGGATGCCTGCCCTCTTCTACCACACCAGGCCTCTCCCTTCACAACGAGTGTCATAGGCAAGAGAGGGAATTGTTGGACGATTTCATTGTCATATGTGAGAGGAGGGATTTTATTGTTTGTGACCAAACTGAGTGACACATATTTTCCGTTCTCTAAACAAAACCATTCATTGAGCCTCATCTGTTGCTGCTTTTCTATTTGGGCTTCCTGTGATTTTTTTTTTATTTATTTTTCAAAGAAAATTTTTATTAAATTTTTAAAATTTTACAAAAACAAAACAATCTTCCCCCCAACCTCCCCAACCCTCCCATTCCCTCCCCCGACCTCCCCAGAGCTGAATATAGGCTTAATTAAAATTTCACCAAAAAGTCTTAAAAAAAGATATAAACCATAAATGAATCTAACATTAGTTAAAAATCTAAATACATTAATTAGAAAAATTATAAAATAATTAACAATAGTATATATGTATAAAAAACATGAATACAAAAAATAAATGTTTAAAGAAGAAAAGAATAAAGAAATAAAAAAAGGAAAAAAGAACAAAGAAAAAAGAAGAAAAAAAAGAAAAAAAACAACAAAATATTCCATTTTAAATATAAATTGTTAAAAAACTAAGTAATATTTTTTTATATCCAACTTATGTTGTATAAAATCTATCCATTTTTTCCATACCGCAACATACTTCTCTTGCGATTGATCCTTCAAGAAAGCCGAAATCTTTGCCATTTCCGCCAAATAAGAAACTTTAAGAAACCACTCTTGCAAAGTAGGCAAAGATTCCTTCTTCCAACATTGCCCTACTAACAACCTTGCGGCTGTAATTAAATTTAACATCAATGTAATCTCCTTAGTATCACAATCAGTAACGATACCTAACAAAAACAATTGTGGGGTAAATTTTACCCTCCTTCTAAAAATTCTTTGAATATTCCACCCTATCTTAATCCAAAAAGCTTTTATATTTTTAGGCTTCCTGTGATTTTTGTGCTCTTTCACAAATGGGGTCTGTCCCTCTCCTGCTCAGAACATTTGCTGGACTCTCAGCTGAGAGTGACCTGCACTCCTGGGGGGGCTGCAAAGAGAGCTTGGCAGCTGAATTGCTCCACAGATACCTGGGAAGACGGGGTGGAATTCAGCTGGATCAAGAGAACGGATCCCGCTCTCAGGGTTCTGTGATAAAGATCACTTCCCAAGACCTTGATCTAGGTGTCACCTGCACAGCAGAAAACAATGTTAGCCAGGCATCCAGGACAGTCCAGGTAAGGGTTTCTCCCCATGAAAGAAGCTTTGGGACCAAAGATGAATCTGATATTGAGTTCAGAGAGAAAAGGTCCTGGAGAAGGTAGACTGTCCCATGGTTGTTTGTGCAGGAGAACCATGGGTTGGACTGCAACAACGCTTTTGATGATCTATTACGTCCTTCACCTGGCATCTTGAATTCTAACCCTTATCTTTACATCCAACAACTATCTGTGTCTTTGTCGTCTTTAGAAAGTCTAAAAAAACACGTTGGTACTTGTTTGTTTGTTCAGATCTGGAATCCATTAACAAGGCCTGGGCTCCTCCAGATGCTGGACTTTGTAGAGTTGGAAGGACCACAAAGGCCATCTAGTCCAACCCTCTGCAAAATGCAGGAAAACCAGTTCAACCATTCCAGGTTGGCCTCTCCCCATTGGTCTTGCTCCTTGCACCCTGGCTGAGGGGAAGAAACAAGTTGGTGGTAGTCTCAGCACCATCAAGTGGGGTCCTCAGTGAAGAGCCCAGCCTGGTGACAGAGAGGGGCTGAACCCAGGTGGTACTTCAATTGCAAACCTATTAATCTAATAGGACCATCAGGTGTCCTCCAGGTGAGTCCTTCGGGTGGCCTGGTTAGCCTGAGGATTGGTGGAGTTTTAGGTCTCTCTGGTGGGGGAGATCCTCCTTTTCAGCCACAAGGGAAGGACTCAGCTCCCAAATGGGACATGTGAACCCGTCTTGTTACTCTAAGAAAGGAAGAAGCCCCCCCAAGTCCTCTATCCTGGAGCCATTTTGTCTTTCTTCACAAAAGGTTTTCTGGGAGGCTGAGGGTCAGAAATGGGATGCTTGGAAGGTCCCTTGTGACCCAAGTTTGAACTCTTTCTCTAACCTTTCAGGAACAGAAGAACTGTATGGTGCTCTGGGAGAGACTGCCACTTTCCAGGTGAAACGCCCTCCACCATATAAGAACATTTACTGGAGTAAAGGTGTCGGCAACAACTCCATAAATCTTACTATGGTGAACTTTAATGGACCATGTCATCTCCAGAACTCCCACCCAGACTATGAAAAGCAGTTGCATGTCTACAAGGGTTGCAGACATCTCCATCTCCATCATCTAAAAGAAGAGGATGCTGGCAGATACACTGCAAAAGTTGTTCGTGGGGGAAAAATGACAAGCGAGTCCTTTAATCTGTGGGTTTTTAGTAAGTATCGCAGCCATGGCAGTAAATTCTTGGCTTTCCTCCTTTGCCCAGGCTGATGTGGAGAGGTGGGAGCTTTTTGGGGGGGAGAGTGTCTTTGGGTGTCCAGTTTCTGAAGATCATGGCTTCTGGGTGGAGCCCAGAGCTTCTCTCCAGCTGCTCCCTCCTTTTGAACTTCTGTCCCAGAACACTCTGCCCGTCAGATATCTGTGTATATTTTTGTCTATTTTGGCAATGAAAATATTTGAGTTGTTGTGGTCAGGCTTAGCCTTGCTTACAGTTGCACCCTCCCCCCCCCCCAATACCACCACCTTCCTCTCTATTCCACCCTGCCCACCATCTTCTACATCAGGAGCTTTGGCACAGCTGAGGACGTGCATATCTAAATGGGTTAGAAGTGGAGCTCAAATTGTGACCCATAAACCTTTTCCCCTTGCAAGGGGACTATGGGGCCCAGCCTAGCTCCCTCCAGGCTTCCTTTTTTAAAAAACTTTTTATTAATTTTCCAATGTTACAGTTATATCTTTGAAAAGCAACGTGGTGTCTGAATTACAATAATTCCATTATGTTTTTCTTTTATTTTTTTCTCTTGCTCCTTATATCTTTTATCTCTACTTTATTTTTTATACTTCTTTTCCTCTTTTTTCTTTTTTATTCTTCTTCTTTCTAAGCATTTTTTTTCTTTTTTTTCTAATAGTTATGCTTTATATATATATATTACTGTTAATTATTTTATAAGTTGTATAAGTATTGTATTTAGACTTACTTATGGTTTATATTCTTTTTAAGATTTTAAGAAACTTAAGAAATTTTAATTAAGCCTATATTCAGCTCTGGGAAGGTCGAGGGAGGGAGTGGAAGGGTTGGGGTGGGTTGGGTAGGGTTGTTTTTCTTTTTTGTAAAATTTTAAAAATTTTCAATAAAAAATAATAATAATAATAATAATTCCATTATGTACAAATATTAATACAAATCTCCAATTTTTTACAGCCAATATTTCCTCTCTATTTTCCCTTAATGCATACTGTGTCTTGTTTAAATTAGTATACTTCTTATTCTATCCATCAGCTACTTAATAGCTTTCTTACATTTATCAATAATTTTATATGTCTTATTTATTTTAACATTCCATCTTTTGGACCATCAATAATCTTATGAATTTTCCCAGCTTTAATTTTGCATTGATATTTAAATTAAACATTTAATATTTATCATTTCCAAATTTTTAAATGACCCCAATTCCCTTTGTCCAAATTCCTCCCAACATCTAGTGTTCCAGATACATATCTATCTCACTTCTATATCAACAGATTAGTAATACAATATATTATTTTCATTATAATTTCCAAATATTATAGATTCAATAACCAAAATTTCTCCCATTTCAGCATTCTTCTTTATGTCTACTTTCTCATATTTAAGCTTATAATTTTTATTCTTATCACTACATCAAAACATGTTAATTACGTTACATCGCTCTTAACATATATATGTCTTAATCACCTTTATCTAACTTTTATAAACAACTCAATATTTCAATTTAACTGTTGATATTTATGCATCTAGGTTTTAATTAGCCAACATTTTTCTTTATCTTCACATCATAACAACATCTCATATTCAAAATATGGGTCTTGTCTACTTAAGTATATTCTATTTTAAACCTCCTAAGTATGTCCACACTCCATTCTTCTTCAGTCTTATGCTGGCTTTTTTTCTTTGCCAAATCATCTTCCATGTCCTTGCTTCAGGGTCCTCAAAGAATTATTGTATTATTGTATATATTATATCATATTGAGATGACCATCCAGTCGCCATTTTTGAAAGGCTGAAGGATCTGGCAGGACTACCAGATTGTCTCTTTATTTTCTCCTCTTGACGTAGTTGTCCTGAACTGTTTATCTTTTCCTCTATCTATTTCTCTCCTTGATCTTCAAATTCCTTCTGATTTATATAGCAGGTTTTTTCCTCCATCCAAGTTGTCAGATTTTTTTCTGAATTTTCTATTGTCTGTACTTGTTGGGCAGTTAGGTCTTCTGTGATAATATTTAATTGTTCATTTTTTTCTGTTATATTCTGTTATATTATAGGTTTTTAGTTATAGTCAAAATTTGAGTTTGCATATCTAAGACACTTTCTGTTTTTTCCATGAAAGCTCTTATTCCATCACCAGCTGTAAGAAGAGTTTGGTGAATTTGGTAAGTTATTTTCAATATAGCAAAAATTTGTTTTTGCATTTCTTCCATAGAAAAGGTCTGTTCCTGGTCTTCCATAGTGATGAGTTGAATTGAAAACTTTTACAGATTTTTCCCCCCAGTAAATAAGAAACAGAGCTAAAACTCTCACAGCTGGTGTTCAAGGTCACATGAATCTTATCTTGTTTTCTGAACTGTCTCTTTTCTTTAAGAATAATAAATTGCAATTTCAGGTTTAGCAATTTCAGGTTTAGCCATAAGATGTCACCCCACTGTTTAAGGAATTCCTTTCAATCTCAAAGTTATTTTAATTCTTTTGGGGTTTTTTCTTCTATTTTAAGAGGAAAAACCCAGGCTTTCAAATAAAAATAGAAATTAAAAACAGATAATCAAAAATCTTTTAATCCAACTTCCAATTGGGATCCAATTATTTTTTTCAATGTTTTCAAAATTCCCCTGTATATTCAATCACCGCTGTTTCTGGAGGGAGGGCTAAAATCCCCCTTCCCTCTCCATAGTGGGGAAAGTACTTTAGCAGCTTGAATAGGTACAAAGAAGCAATTAGGATTTAAGAGAGGTAGATCTCACCCAGTCCTTTCCACGCTGCTTTGATGTTGCCAGATGGTGAGTGTGACTTTGGCTTTCTGCAGCCTAGTGACCAGCCATATTTTTATGGCCAGTCTTTCGTCCGCCGGTTTGGAGGGATTCGCCAGCTCTAGCAGGAGAGCTACCGCTCTCCGGCAATCCGGCGAGAGCCCCTCCTTGCTGGTTGCCCCCTAGCAATGCAAAACATGGACAGGGGAGACAAAGCTCATCTCCCAGATGTCCATGGCAGCCATGACAAACCGGAAGTCTCCCCTCCAGGCTTCCCTCTCCGTGGGACTTAGGCTGGATTGGGCCGGGCCAAAAGGGGGCTCCTGGATGGGGTGGCAGGAAAAGAAAGGTGGGTTTGCTTTGAGGTTGGAGTCTCTAGAGTGGCAGTTCAGGATACTCTTTGGGGGAGTCAAGGGGTCCTTGGGGAGATGGCGAGCCTGGAATTGGTGGAAGGCAGAGGATGAGTGGTCGCTGTCCTCTATCTTGGTGGGCCTTTTCCCTCACAATGAGTGTCATACATGAGAGGGGGATTTTGTTGTTAGAGCAATGGGTGAGACATATTTCCCTGCTCTAATTGAAGCAAACCATTCATTGATTCTTGCTGTTGCTGCTTCTCCTTCCTCCTTGACCTCCCTGTGATTTTGTGGACTTTCACAAATGGCATCTCTGCATCTCCTACTTAGGACGTTTGCTGGACTCTCACCTGAGCGTGACCTGCACTCCCGATGGGGCTGGAAATGGATCCTGGCAGCTGAATTGCTCTACAGGGACTGAGGAAGATGGAGTTACATTCAGCTGGGACTCCCCTGTCTACCGCCCTTCTTTCTCCTCTCATCCTCCTGTGATCAAGGTCACCTCCCAAGATCCTAATATCAACGTCACCTGCACAGCAAAAAACAAGGTTGGCCAGGCATCCAGGATGGTCTCCTTAAAGGAAGTTTGTGCTGGTAAGTTTTTTCTCTCCATGAAAGAAGCCTTGGGATTAAAGATGAAGCTGACATTTAGTTGGGAGACAAAAGGTCCTGGAGAAGGTAGATCTTCCCACAGTTATTTGTGCAGGAGTTGGAAAGGGATTTGGCTGCAACTAACAATCCAGAAGAATAAAATGTATGTATGTATTTATTTAATTCAAATTATAGGCCTACCCTCCTAATGTGGTGACTGGGTGGCTAACAGCAATTGAAAACAAAAGCAACAGCAAAACAAAATACAAAATCAATAGGTGAGATAAAATAATAACAGCAACACCAATTAGAACAACTATTTTTCATGCCTGGGACACAAACAGTTCTGGATGGGCCAAGGTCTTCTCCATGGCAGTGATGTTCCTGTGGGCAGAACAGAACCAGTTCACTTTCTGATCCCACCAGATCATGTTCCTGAATCGATGGGGCTCCAAGCAGGCTGATTCTGTCGGATCTACAAGGTTCACCATCACTGTTATATATATTCAATACGTAACAGTCACTCTTCCTTAGGTGGGACAACCGCTTAGTTCAGGGAAACTCCTGGAGTCAGTCCTCCTCTGCTGTAGCCAGGAGGGCTTAGCACAGATCCATCTCATGTGACGTTCACACGCCTTCCTACCCAGAGACATTGTCTTCTGTTGAGACCAGCCTTTGAAGATCACGCAGGAGCTTCGTTTGGTCCACTGGGCTCAGCACAAGCAATTGTGGGCATAGCTTGGTGCATCTAAGCAGCACCTGCCCTACTTGCCAGATGGAATCTGGGTGGGATTCTAGGTGCCGGTCACTTTCCTGTTGGCTCCTCTGTTGTAAATGGGGCCAGGCACCTCCATTCTCTGGAACTGAAAAGATTAAAAGGGTCCGTTGTTCTCTTTCAGGACAGACCGAGATCTTCTACAGGCTGCCTCTCTGGGCCCTGCTGTGCCTTAGCAAAGTGGGACCTCTTCTTCTTCTTGGCTGTTTGGGGCTCATTCTGAAATTCAGAAAAGGTACCATCTTAAGGAAGCCCTCTGGGAAACCCAACCCTTCCCTTCTCTTCTCTTGGTCCCTTTGCCCCTTTGGATTAGCCAACGGAACAAGATGGAGTGGCCTTTGCGATAAAAAGATTAGAGAAAAGAGCTGCTGAATGAGTTCCCTCCCCCCTTTTCCCTTGCCCCTTCCCTTCGTGGAGTCAAAGGTCCACAACCGTGGTGGCAAACCTATGGCACGCGTGCCAGACTGGGCATGTAGAGCCCTTTCTGTTGGCATGCGTGCCAGAGGGACGCTCCCCTCCCCATCTCCACGTGTGCCTGACTAGTGGGAACTGGAGAGGGCAGGGAAACCGTATCTAGCAGCGCTCTCGCGGGAACCGCTGCAAGAGCTGGGCGGGGAGAGGGGAACCTGTAAAAGGAACAGATTTTGGCAGGAGTGCAGCAAGAGAGCGACTGAGTGAGCAGACGGCCTGCCGCACTCCCCCAGCCCCTCTCTTTCCCTTCCTTTGAAACAAACAAACCCCTCCCAATCCTCCCTTTCCTGCCTTCTGAATTAAAACAAGAGAAGGCCAAGATTTTTCTTTTGTGGTCTTTACATATTTAAACTGCAGCTAGAAGGAAGTGGGGAAGAAAACCATCCCGAGACGCTCTTCTGTTTTAACTTCTTTTCCTTGTAGCTTTTGGGAGTTTTCATCCTGTTTTCGTGAGACGGCAGCGTTTGGGTGAAGCTGCTCCCTTCCTCCGCCAAGCCATCAGCTGAGCAAGACGCACTCCTGCCCACTGCACCACCCGCCAGAGACCCCCTGGATCTCCCCCAACCCTGCCCGACCCCCACAGGCACCCCTCCCCAGGAGCAACATCGAGCTGGCCACGCCCACACAGTCTGCCATGCCCACTGTGGTCACGCCCACCCAGTGTGCCACGCCCACCTGGCACCTGGCGATACATAAGTGGGTTTTGGGTTGCAGTTTGGGCATTTGGTCTCTAACAATCCAGTGTGGGCATCCAGACTGACCAATCTCCCTTTGCTGCCACCAAGTGGTCATCTGGCAGCCTAGAACTAGCAGCCAGGGATGAGGTCCTCAGGGTTTAGCACCTGTGCCACATTCCTGTCTCGTGGGCTCACCTGCAAGGCGAGTTTCAGCTACCCTAGTCCACCTGTAGCTGAATGCCAGGTCTGTCTGCAATGAGGCAGAGATACCAGTCTTAGCTTATGCCACACCTCCCTCTCTCTCTTCCTCCCTCTCTCTCTCTCCCACCTCACCCCCCTCTCCCTCTCCCCCTTTCTCCCTCTCCCTCTTCTCTCTCCCTCTCCTCCCCCCCTCTCTCCTTCTCCCTCTCCCTCTTTCCATCTCCCTCTCTCCCTCCCTCTCCCTCTCCTTCCCCCCTCTTACTCTCCCCCTCTCTCCCTCTCTCTCTCTCTCTCCTTTCTCCCTCCCTCTCTTCCTCTCCCTCTCTCTCCCTCCCTCTCTCCCTCCCTTTCTCTCTCTCTCTTTCTCCCTCTCTCTCTCTCCCACCTCACCCCCCTCTCCCTCTCCCCCTTTCTCCCTCTCCCTCTTCTCTCTCCCTCTCCTCCCCCCCTCTCTCCTTCTCCCTCTCCCTCTTTCCATCTCCCTCCCTCTCCCTCTCCCCCTCTCCTTCCCCCCTCTTACTCTCCCCCTCTCTCCCTCTCTCTCTCTCTCCTTTCTCCCTCCCTCTCTTCCTCTCCCTCTCTCTCCCTCCCTCTCTCCCTCCCTTTCTCTCTCCCTCTCCCTCTCTCTCTCCGTCTCTCTGTCTCCCTCTCTCTCTCTCTCCCTCCCTCTCCCTTTCTCTCTCCTTTGATGGTTTGAACAGCTGCTATTGCTCCTCACCTAATCATCTGCACTAAATGTGGAGATCCATGGGTTCAGTTCCTGATAGAAATTTGGGAGCCCAAAGAACATGATCTGGCCATGTATATGTCTGGTGATAAGTAACAGCTTCCACAGGGAAAAGTATTTTTTTTTCCCATGGCTAACCCATGGTTAAAGAAAGAGGAATCTTCCTATCAGAAATTAAGAGATAAGTATCAAGGCTCTTTTTAAGAAAAAAGAAAGAAAAAAACTAGAGGAGCAAAATTTATACTATAATCCTGGGTAAGATGTGGATCTTACCACAACTCCACATGGTTAAAAAATAATTTTAAATTTAATGGTAAACAGTGAAAGAGCAGAAACAAAAAGTTGTAAAAGTCCAGCAAGAGGTTATACAATAGACTAGAAGTCAACTAGTCATAAATCTAGAGATTGTAAAGCTTCAAAAAGTGCAAATAAAAGCCAGGCGCACTTAAGAAAAATGAGCAGCTGAGGGGAGATGGTGTCAATAGTTCAGATCTTCTGATTGCTCCTTACCGAGAACTGCAAGCATCCAGACCCTCTGTTCTCCATTGATCATCTGAAGGTTGCAAAATCAGCTGTTTGTCAACAGGAAAAAAGAAAACTCCTGTCCATTCAGCACACCACGATTGGGGAGGAGCCGAGAGCATCTCTTCAATGAACAATGCATTTACCACCACCTGCATCCAGCCCCCTAGCACCGCCCTGATCACTCCAGCCAACCAGTAGGACAGGGATCTAATCAACAGGTGGCACATCTAAGGGAGCTTTAGACTCATCCTGAGTATCTCCACAACACAAAGCCTCCATCATCTCAGCCAGATATGCCCAACTCAAGAGGTCACAAAGAGTGCTTGGCACAGTCACTCTGTAGGATCAGCATAGGTTTCATGGTAGCAGAAAGACACTGCATGGATGGATGGATGGATGGATCGATCGATCCTCCAGGCAAGCTCCCCCTTCTCCTTTTGAACCTCCAACTTACTCCACATGGTGGCCCCTTGGACCTCTGCCTTCTGACCCTCCGTCTTCTTTGTTTTTTTCCCAGCAGCTGGGGGAGGGAGGCTGATGATCCAATTCCTGCCAACTTCCCAGAGGAGACCACCACCACCTCCTAAGGCCACTTCGGATTCACTTGATGGACATCTCAGATGACTCTCCTTCCTGCCCCTTCACTGCAGACGCCCCTGGTCTTCCTGTCAGCTTTCTACAGGAGGCTTTGGGACTAGGGGCTTCCATGGGCCTCCCAATGAACTCTATTACCAATGTGGCTAGTGGGAGGGGCTCCAAGGGTGGCTGTGGCCACTCATGCCTGCCTCTCCTGCCCCACAAGCTGCTTTTGCTGTTGCCTTGTCTGGACCCCAAAGAAACCCACATTTGTTTGTTTGGTTGATATTCAGGAGCTCAAAGCAGCCCCCAGTTCCCTGCTCTTTCCCTCACCACATCCCTGTGAGGTAGACAGAAGAAGCTTTCACAGCTGAGGTTGGGTAAATTCTAAGTCGTACTAGAGTTTTGCGGGGGGGGGGAGCTGCCCTATTCTCTCTCTTCAGAGCTTGCCAGGGGGTCTGCTGCCCTGGTGTCCCCCTCCCCCCTTCTTGCAGACTCATCCTCTCATTTCAAATTCAACCTTGATTACAGCCATAGGGCAGCTCACTCCCGTTTTCATAGGGGAGCCCAGCACTTATGGGACACCCCCTTCCTTCCCCAGCCAAGCAGTGTCCCAAGGGGGAGCAGCTGATAGATCCCACTTTCCCAAGAGTCAATCCACCGGTTTCCCCATGAAGAGAGGGGCCGCTCCCCCACTCTCTGAAAGGTCTCTGAGCATCTCTTCTGCCAAATAAACATCATGTCCCTCCCAAGACAGGCTCTGATCTCCCTGACCCTCTCTGAATTGGAGGGTCAATTGATAAATGTTCTGATTATTGCTTTTTAAGGGATGTGAATCCCACACTTACCTGTCAGGTGGACAAATATCTTCATCAAGTTGTACAATTCTGAAAAAGTTTAAATTAGATATTTAAATGTCTCTAGGGTATAGCAGAGCCAGGACTGAGTCCCAAAGTACCACTTCCTCCCATTTAATTCTGAGAAGATTAAATGAGGGTGGGTGAATGTGCGTGGAAATGGTCTTGGGAGGGGAGAGATGTAATTTGGGACTGTTAATGCAGCCTTACAATAAAGACAGAGCACGTGTCCTCCTGGTTGTGCTTCTTGCTGAACTGTGAGATGAGCAGCACATAAATGTAATAAATAAATAGTCTGGACTACTTCACCAGGCTAACAGGGAAGGAAAAATGGAGATGACTAAGTGGCAAAAAAGGGGGCGGTGTCCTCAATCAACATGAGATAATTGCACAAGGTGGAAAGTCTGAAAGAAATTGAAAGGAAAGTTGTTTATTGCTTTCTGGAAGTTTCTAAAATTTTCAAATCTGGGTGACTCTTTTTCTTAAATGTGTGTCACTGGGATTCTAATGGTGGGCTGTATAAAAGTGTATATCAGGGGAAATTAGTCAATGATACATTCTTCCCTCACCCCACCTTCTCCATATCTTTCAAAAATCTGGGGAACTACCAGAGGATTAGAAAAGAGCTGATGTGGTTCCCATCTTCAAAAAAAAGGGGGAAAACAGAGCCAGGAAACTACAGACCAATCAGACTAACATTGATACCTGGGAAGATCCTGGAAAAGATAATAAAAAAACAGATCTGCGAACAACTAGAATAGAATAAAGCTGGAAGGGACCTTGGAGATCTTCTAGTCCAGCCCCCTGAGAACCTATACCATCTCAGAGAAGTGACTGACTAGCCTCTTCTTAAAAACCTCCAGTGATGGGGCACCCACGATTTCTGGAGGCCAGCTGTTCCACTGGTTAATTGTCCTCACTGTCCGGAAGTTTCTCCTTAATTCCAGGTTGCTTCTCTCTTTGATCAGTTTCCAACCATTGTTTCTCCTCCTTCCCTCTGGTGCTCTGGTGAACAACGTGACCCCCTCTTTCTTGTGGTAGAAGCAAATAAAGTTATAACTAATAGCCAGCATGGGTTTGTTAAAAACAGATCAGGCCAAACCAATCTTATTTCATTCTTTGACAAAGTGACTAAATTAGTAGACCAGCAAAATGCTGTGGACATAGTTAGACTTCATATTTAGACTTCAGCAAGGCATTCGACAAAGTAGACCACAACCTATTTCTTGGTAAGCTAAAATAAAGTGGGACAGACAGCATCACCATGAGATAGATTTGTAATTGGCTGACAAACTGTACTCAGTGAGTAGTCTTTCATGGTACTACATCTACATGGAGGGAAGTTAGCAGTGGGGTACCATAAGATTCTGACCTAGGCCCAGTACTCTTCAATATCTTCCTAACCTACTTAGATGAGAGAATCGAATTATCAAATTTGCAGATGACACTAAGCTGGCAGGAGTAGCCAACACTCCAGAAGACAAGCTCTTCATAGACTTGAACACTAGGCCTTATCTAACAAAATAAAATTCATTGTAGAGAAAAGCAAAGTCAAGAAAAAGCAAAAGTACACATATAGATTGGGTGAAACCAGGCTTAATAGAAGCAACTGTGGGAGATATCTTGGAGTCTTAGTGGGCAATCAATTAAATATGAGCCAACAGTGTGCGGTGGCAGCCAAAAAAGCCAATGCAATCCTAAGTTGCATTAACAGAGGGATTCAATCAAGATCATGTGAGGTACTAACATTGCTCTATAAAGCCTTAGTAAGACCACACCTAGAATACTGCACCCAGTTTTGGTCTCCACACTATAAAAAAGATGTTGAGACTCTAGGAAAAAGTGCAGAGAAGAGCAACAAAGGTGATTAAGGGCCTGGAGACTAAAACATATGAAGAACGGCTGCAGGAATCAGGTTTGCCAGTCTAAAGAAAAGAAGAAATAGGAATGACATGAAAGCAGTATTCCAGTATTTGAGGTGCTGCCACTAAGAAGAGGGGGTCAAATTATTCTCCAAAGCAACAGAAAGCAAGACAAGAAACAATGGATGGAAACTGATCAAGGAGAGAAACAACCTGGAATTAAGGAGAAACTTCCTAACAGTGAGGACAATTAACCAGTGGAACAGCCTTCAGAAGTTGTGGATGCTCCAATACTGGATGTTTTTAAGAAAAGATTAGATGGCCATCTATTTGAAATGGTATAGGGTCTCCTGCTTGAGCAGGGGGTTGGACTAGAAGACCCCCAAGGTCCCATCCAGCTCTACAGTGATTGATATTGATATCCTGAGGCCATTCATACAACTCCACAAGGGCAAAGTGAAGGGAACCATCAACCTTCACCAATCCTTTCCCCCAAATTCAGAAGAGACAAGCCAAACAATACAAAACAGTACAACCCACAATAGAACAGAAGATACCAACTCAGTACCAAAGGGAAGATGGAACTTGGGGACATTCCCTCTGCAGCCCTTCCCCATCCCAATCTCTGTCCTGGGCCAGGTTGTCCTTCCATCCTCCCACCCCAATTGCTCAGCAGGAACAGCCTCAGCCTAGGGCAGACATGTCAAACACAAGGCCCAGGGGCCGGAGGCAGCCCGCAAAGTGGTTTCATGTGGCCTGCAAAGCTATCCTGGAAACAGTGAGGGAACGGCCCACGTTGCCTTGGCCCTGTCCCAGACCAGCTGGGAGCCAATGTACAATTTTGTGGTGGCTATCTATGCTGAAACATATTCAGTCTTAGCTCCACAAGGCCGTCTGGAAACAGTAGGAACCAGCCCCTGCCGCGTCGGCCAAGCCCCTTGGGTGAATGCTGGGGAGGTGTCACCCTTCGTGAGGAATGAAGAAATGCACCATCGCCTGGAAGTGGCCAGCAAATGGCCCTTGCCTACTTCACATATCCGGCTAGATGGGCTTTGGGGGAGGGGTTTCGGCAGGCAGCGGGGCACTCTCCTCATAGTGCTGAGAGGTTGAGCTGGGTGGCGCAAATCCCAAACGAAACGCGAGGCCGCCCAGCTCCCAGCCTGCCCAATTTCAGCAGGCAACAGGGCGCTCTCCTCACAGCACCAAGAGCTGAGCCAGGTGCTGCGAATCTGATGAGAAGTGCAATGCTGCCTAGCCCCCAGTCTGCCCAGTAGGCTCGGGACATTGCAATGGTCCCGGACATTCCAGAAGCTGCCCGGGACCAGACTGAGCGGCGCCGGCCTTGTGCGCATGCGCAAGACGCAAAACGCCAGATACTTTGTTATGTTTCTGTCCGGGTCGCTGGTTGCTTTTAAGAGAGAGGCCTGCGAGCCTGTGGTTTTTCGAGTGTTGGTGATTGTAAATAAAGAGCTGTTAACTTCGTCATGACTCCTCATCATTCGCCATTGAACGGAGGACTTAACACTGGCGACGAAGGTGGGATGATTTACAAGCGGAAGACAAGAAGCTGAAAGACTTACCCAGGAAGTCCTGAAGAGGGGAAGACGGCGTTAAAATCAGCGTTCCAGCCTGCCAGTACAGTGTCGCTGGAGGGTGAGTTCGGCTGAAAGACCCCATCCCCAATACAAGTTTCAGAGGAGCGAGTGGTGAAGGAATTAGAGGATGGCAAAGATTGGTCGTTTATCTGACTTTGATATCTCACATTCAGAGAGATGGGAATCCTACGTTGCAAGGGTGGAGAATTACTTCAGAATAAATCAGATTAGAGAAGATGGCTTGAAGGCTGCAACTCTGTTGTGTGTCTGTGGACAGGAAGCTTTTGAGATTGCAGAGAATCTGGTGGCTCCTGCACCTCTGGAGTCAGTAACATATACTGACTTGAAGAAACTGCTGAAGGAACATTTCCAGCCCAAGTAGTCTGTTATTGCTTGGAGGCACACATTTGAGCAAAGGGACCAGAGGGCAGGTGAATCTGCTAAAGACTTTATTGTGGCCTTACAGCAAGCAGCCAGACCGTGTGAGTTCAAGGACCTGGAAGAGAGCCTGCGAGATCGCTTCGTATGCGGTTTGAGGAACAGAGACGTGCAGCAGAAGATGTTTGCTAGAGAGGATGTCTCTTTCCAAGATGCACTGAGAGAGGTGACAGCTGAGGAAGCAGTAGGCGGGGCTGTGAAGACCCTACGGCCCACCAGGAGCCCTCCAGAGACTGCTACCGTCCACCAAGAGGACATCCAAGAAGGACCAGATGCGGATCCTGAAAAAGAGGTGAATAGACTTTACCAGCCAGCTGGAAGGAGGCCGAAGGAGCGCCTGGACAAGGACAAAGCATCCCTTCAATGCTTCGGGTGTGGAGGACACCACAAGCAAACAGAATGCAGGTTCCATTCCGCCAATTGCAGAGCGTGTGGCAAGCAAGGCCACATCCCAGCCGTCTGTTTGGGGTGACAGAAGGTTCAATCTCGAGAACCTTCTGTCACCCCAAACAGCCAACATAGGGTGGGTTTCTGCACATCGCGCAGGAGTATTTTGAGGACAGGAACACACAAGCCCCTTAAGAAAAAGTTTTCTCTTAATGTAAGGCTGCAAGGGGTTCCTTTATCAATGGAGTTGGACACTGGATCCGCTCTTTCCATTATTTCCAGTAACAC